ACCCCCTCTCTAAAAATTAATTTAAAAATAAAAAAGATGCACAATCCTTGGTGACTACACAAAGAAGTTCAAATGCTGGAGAGAACATGAAAAAGATGAAAATATGAAGCCCAGGTAGGCTATAGTGTGCAATGAAAGGGCTTATGTTTGTTTTCCATTTTATGAGCAAAAAAATTAAATTCTTCATAAGTGTGGCAAGTGCTGGGGAAAAATTGTTGTAGTTCTGTACCATCCATTCAGGGCAAGTAAGAACTCTCCTGAAAAATCTGATTGTTCTTTGAATTCTTTCATTTCTTCCACATTAAAATAGTCTTAATGTCCTTTCCTTTACAGCTGGCCATGCAACACAGAATTCACAAACCTGAATAATGAAGTGTTTCTAGTAACAATATGTGTAAGCCAATGACAGAAGCCTAGAAGGTACCTGCCATCAGCAAGAAAGCTTTTCTCCAGCCATTGCACTCAATGCAGGTCCCAGGCCTTCAGGCAAACTCCCATCAAGGGGCCATTCTTGAAACAAGAGAAGGTGTTTGTGGAAGGGCTTGGATAAACACCTGAGACTGTAGGAAGTCAGTGTGCTCCTCCCACTGCCTTCTACTTGCCTGAGGTCACTGAAAGCTGGCCCTCTGCCACCTCCAACAGGACTCAGCCACTATGAATAATACTGCAACTCTACTCCTGCTCAGTGGAAAGGCACCCTTGCAGGCAAACCAGCCAGAGAATGCTACTGCACTAGAAGGGACTTTTCTAGGCAGGGTCACCAGGTCCTGGAACACCAGGCTACACAACAACCAGACAGAAGAGACTCCGTTTTTATAAAGTTTCAGAGCAAGGAAATGGAGTCCTCACAACTGTGCAGCAGCAATAGTGACTTTTCAAAGCAGCACATATTCTCACAAATACAGAGGCAGGTGCAAAAACTCATCCTGCTCAGTACAGTCATCCATTCAGATTGGGAGAAAGAGGACCATGTTGTTGAGCTCCAGACATCAAGGTTATCGTTGCTGTGGCACAAATTTTTCATGCCATCAGTAAAAGATAGGTAACTTTCATACGGGAGTCTGTGATGTGGCATTATTATTGATAACTTATAGCAGTCAGGCGGCTCTGGCCAAGGGGATCAGCACCATCTAATGAAACCCAGCAATGGCCAGTTAGTGCCAACTACCACTGAGATGGTCCCACCACTGCTATCCATACCACAGTACAAACAGCATCACCTCTCAGGTGTGCCCCCAAGGAGAGCCTGTGCTCTTCTGGAAGAGTCTTCCTTCCTGTCCTGGGTAACATGCTTCCACTTTAATTTCTGATATATTTTTTCTTTAAAGGCTCTCCCTGCAACACTGCCCATGAATCCCACTTGGACCTCTAGACAGGTTTGTCTTTTTGATACGTGGATTTTGGGTGACTCTCTCTCTGCAGAAGATCTTTCCGCTTCCTGTGTCCGCAGGTGAGTTGGGCACACTTCACCCCCTCCAATGCACTTCTCAAAGCACTGTAATTCCCCATTGGATTCTCAAGAATTTGTCCTTTCTCCTCCAGGCTTCAGTGAGATCTGGTTATAGCATCTTTTATCTCTTGTTCTTTGAGTAGAGATGTTTAATGCTAGGTTTATTGAATGAATGAGTGAATTAACACACTTTGAATTAGCACATTGGTGGAAACCCTGGAACCACATATGCAGCCTGCAGCTCAGAGATCCCTCACAAGCCAGTTCCTGAAGATCACACAATGGCCTTCAATTGTGGGTGGGGGTTACAGGTTCAGAAGGGAAAGGGAAATGGAGATAGTGTCAGAGTACCTCTCTGCTCCTTCAAAAAGGTGGGTGCCCCCCTGACAAGTATTCAAACTCCAGACTTAGGAGTCATGCCAGGAAGAAAGGGGAGGGAGTGTACCAACACCATAGAAGATGTCCATACTTACAAGATAAAAAGTTTGTGGTGGAGACCTATTTTAAAATAGTGTGGCCACAAGTTTTGAGCCAGTCTGACCACCCAAGTAGGGCCTAAGAAGCCCAGGATCTTGGTGGCATGACTGGAGCCTAGTGGGATGGTGTAGGCTAAGTGGAGGCAGTCTGGCTTCCTCAGCCAGGTGTCTGGGTAATGAGGGGAAGCAGTGTTCCCATAGCCTCGGAGGGGTCTACTAACCAGTATTCTCATAGCCTTGAGACTGGATCCAATCAACTGTTCCCGTAACATGAAGTGAGCTCTCATGGGCAGAATTATGCAATGTAATATAATGTAATGTAATATAATATAATATTATAATATAATATAATATAATATAATATAATATAATATAATATAATATTCTCGCATTTTTCACCTGTGTTCCTCTACAGTACTAAACAAGTGGGGGCTTCTCACCATTGAGAGACACTCAAGGGGACTGGTGCCATGAGGAGTGCCACACTGGGGAGCAAGGGCCATGACAGGACACATGCAGATAGACAGGCAGCTTGCAGCTTGCATGGCTCGCTTACCAGAGAGTAAAGGCATGCCCAACATCCCAATGGCTCTGTGAATATGATGCTATCTTTGCAGATATCATGGACTTGCCCAGCCTTTAAGGGATCACAAGAAAATTGGCATAGTCGTCAGAATTCCCTCACAGAATGGTATGGAGCCAGCACCCCTGCAGGAGAGCTTGGACTGGCCAGTCACCAGCAGGTAGTATTTGGTGGCCAGACTCTTAGAAGCTTGGCCTCCTAGCCCAAGACTGGCTTATGCCAAAGGTACACAGACACAGTGGCAAAAGCCCTGTGAGTGATGGGGACGACCCTAGAAATGTCCTGTGCCTAGGCAGCTCTGGAGGCCAGCAGTGGGGTGTTTCTTTCAGCTTTGTGAGCTGTGACTGAGAGAGACTACACTTCTCAAGACACTGACATTCCCAGAGCCAGGAGAGGGAGCAAAGGCACTGAAGTCTGAAGAAGAGGAGACTGCACTTCCCTCATATGGCAAAGTTTCAGAAACACAGAGAAAGAGAAATAAAGCTGAGCACTGAAGGATTCAGTCTGGGCCCTGGTAAAAAGACTCTCAGGAGCTGAGCTGAGGCAATCCCTCTCTCCTCTCACAGTAAGTCATTCAGGAAAAAAATGACAGGTGGGTGGGAAGAAACTGAGTTCCCAGAGGCAGTGGCCTATGGCTCTGGAGGTAGTTTGGATGTGGGAATGCCCTTCCCTCCCCTGCCCAACACAGACATGGAATACTGTTGCTGAGAAGGACTGGCCAGAGGCCCTGCCAGGGCTTGGCACTCTGGGGAAGCCAGTGTTGTAGGCAACAGATGAGTCAATGCACGCTCTCGGAGACGAAAATAGGTTTCAAAGATTTCTAGTTTTATTGATTACAAAATAATAGTCCAATTATAAATTTGGTGGCCAAGCTTTACCTGCGCAGGGGCGAGCTTCCCAGATGTGAACGGAGTCATATTAGCTTTTAAAGCTACAGATGGAAGTCGCGCGTGGCTCACAGACTACGGGGTTTTTATAGGGCAGAGCAAGCGAATGCGGGGTTACAGAAGCAGATGTGGCAGTTAGCTATTAGCCAGGTTGCTAAGTTAAAAAAACGGCGAAAGTCTCTAATTGGTGGGTGGGAGCTGGGGGGTCTCTTCTGGAGGGCCTTGGTCAGTTACCTTATTTGGCTAGGAATTTTTACCCCAGCCGTTCCCTGACATTTATTTATTACCTAGTCTCAGGAACTGCAGATGCCTAACGGCTGTTTGTATGTTTCTACTACTAATGGCTATTACATTCCCCCTCCGGTTAGGTAGCAGTTAAACCATTGACTGCCGGTCATCTTGAGGCAGGATAGTATGTGGTTGGGACAATACCATAAGCTTGATGGCATCAATCCTGTCCCTGATGAATGCAAAAATCTTATTCAAGATCCAGGGGCCTGTAGTCAGGGCAAGCAATAGGATAAGTATAGGGCCAGCTAATGCGGAAATAAGCGTGGTCAGCCAAGGGGAAGCTTTAAACAGAGAGGCATACCATGAAGAGGTCTGTTCCTCTTGTTCTCTTTCTTTTAGTCTCTTGGTTAGCATCTTTATGCTTTCTCTGATTACCCCGAATGGTTGGCATAAAAACAGCACTCTTCCCCTAAGGCTGCACATAATCCTCCTCGTTGAAGAAACACAAGATCAAGCCCCCTTCGGTTCTGAAGTGCTACCTCAGCTAAGGAGTCTACTTGGCGTTCTAGGTACATTACTTGTTCCTGGAGCAGGGAGACGTCTTTAGAGAATGTCTGTGATAACTGTCTAAGGCTATCCTCCCCATGGATCAGTGCCCCCGCTCCAACAGCTGCTGATCCAATTATACCAATGGTGGCAGCTATGGGTATGAGCAATGGAGTCCGCTTGACTCTGGAAGGGGGTCGTAGTATAAAGTCGGGATCCCCTCCATACAGGTATACTTGGGGAATAATATACGCACTAACACAAAGTTCTGGGTTAGTAGGAACTATACATTTAAAAATACCTTGGGTACATATAAACCATAGCCCTTCTGGGGCTCTTGTTACAGTCAATGTTCCTGGGGTCTTTGGTATGTATACTAGGTTGAGACAGTAATCTGCATAATTTGAATTGTTAAGGGTGAAATTAGCTAACAAGTAACAGGTTCCCTGTCCATGAAACTCTGCTAATGTGATGGTACCTTCAAATTCACATTGTTCAAGACCTTCCACCTATCTTTTCCCTGGGGGAAGGCGCATTGTGATGGGAGTGTTATTTCCCCCTGCGGAGGAGTTAACCCCCAGGCCAACATAGAATGGGGGCCTTGGGCTAAGGCATAACCAACAAGACTCAGTAACATTTGGCATAGTATAGTTAAAATAAGGAAACACTTGTTCTAAGAGGCTTAGGGCCGACTCTCCTTGATGATGAGGCCTGCCTACTAGGGGTGGTGGGCTTCGGAGGAATGGCCTAGGGTTCTCCTCTTCCTCTCTAGGCTGCGCTGAGGCCTCAGTTGCCCTGGGAGGGAGTCTGGTTCCTTTTGGGTCAGGAGAGCGCGTAGCGGCTAGGCTTACAGTAGGTTTGGGCGGGCGAGGTGGCAATCTGCCTACTGCTCCTCTCAGGAGGGGCCTTCCCCTGGTGGGTAATCTCTTTACAGTAAATAGAGTTCCTGGGTCATCCCCTGTGATATATAGGCGGAGGCCCCAGGTTCGTCCTTTAGCCCATTTGGGGTCTTTAGGGTTTAAAACAGTTATTACAGTTGGATTACAGTCGTTTGTGGCGCAGTTCCGATTCCATCTTTCACCCTTTTGGAGGGTGATAGTTTTATCCCTTCCCCCTCCGAGGCTCCACCCATTGGAGAGGGTCTCACAACCCCATGCTTTACAGTAGTAGTCCCCAAGAGCGCTGCCACACGTCTGTCTTTTCCCTGGTGGGGATTCTGGGCAAGTGTAGAACCGGGTTCGGATGAGGTCTCGATTTAAGCCATCTTCTCCCCCACCCTTTTCACAGAGATTCCCTAATCCTTGTTTGTATGGGTCTATTCTGTTCATTCCGGGAACATCACAAAGTTTGTCACCAAAAAACTGGGAGAAATCTGCACTTAGAGTTACTGGGCCTGTATCCCAAGTAAAATTTGTGGCAATGACTGTGCCATCTGCTGTCCTTATGAGTACCCACTCCTGCTGTTCTAGGCCTTGGCTTAGAGCTTTCCCGTGGTTCATGGACAGAGTTACTATAATCAGGAACAACCTTACTGTTTTAGGAACTTTAGGCTCAGCGGTCGCTCAGGATCTCTGCTGACTCGCCATGTGCCTTGATGTTCCCTAGGAGGTTGAGCTGGCTTTGTGTGTGATAGATGAATCCAGTAGGGTTTCTCTGCGACTCGCACTGCAGAGAGGGTGCTGAGCAGGACCTGGAAGGGGCCGACCCACCGTGGCTCCAGGTTTCCTCGCCGGTGGTTGAGGATCCACACCCACTGGCCTGGTTCAGGAGGAGTAGGCCACTGGGTCGTTTCAGCTGGGGGCTGATGTCGTAGGACTCGTATCTCCTGTCGCACCTGCTGCAAGGCCTGGAGGGACTTAAGGAAGTTATAATTTGTGCTGGCTATTTCTTCACTGGAAAGTTTGGGAATAATGGGGACAGGTTGCCCAAACATGATTTCATATGGGGTCCAAGACCCCACGTAAGGGGTATACCTTACCCGGAATAAGGCAAAAGGAAGAAGCTCGACCCAGTTTTCGCCAGTCTCTTCCTTTAATTTAATAATAGTCTCTTTTAGAGTTCTGTTCATTCTTTCTACTTGTCCTGAACTCTGGGGTCTATAAACACAATGGAGCTTCCATTCAATCATTAATTTGCTGGCCAATTCTTGGGAGACCTTTGAGACAAAGGCCGGGCCATTATCTGAGCCAATAGCTAATGGAAGCCCATATCTGGGGATAATTTCTCTTAGGAGTGGTTTGCATACAATGGAAGCGGTCTCCCCCTTAGTGGGGAAGGCTTCAGTCCAACCTGAGTAAGTGTCTACTAATACTAAGAGATACTTATACCCAGATTTTCCTGGTCCCATTTCGGTGAAATCTACTTCCCATAGCTCACCTGGACTCTTACCTCGGTACCTCACCAGGGGAGGATACTTCTTATTCTGGGCATTTACCTTAGCGCATGTCTGACATCTAGTGGTTACTGACTGAACTGTATCTCTTAACTTTGACCCTGTATAATATTTCTTTTTTTTTTTAAAGTGGTGTTTTTTTGTTTTAAGATTTTATTTATTTATCTTTAGAGGGGAAGGGAAGGAGAGAGGGAGAGAAACATCAATGTATGGTTGCCTTTCGTGCGTCCCCTGCTGGGAACTGGCCTGCAGGGAACCTGCCTGCAACCCTGGCATGTGCCCTGACTGGGAATCGAACCGCGATTGTCTGGTTCGCAGCCCCGCGCTCAATCCACTGAGCTACACCAGCCAGGGGAATATTTCTTTATTAACTGTTCTAATCTGGTCTGGCCGAGGTGTGTGCTCGCATGCAACTCTTGGGCTATTGTTCTTAAGACCCCTTGGGGAAGGAAAATCTTGGAGTCAGGTAGTACAATTTGCCCTTTAGAGTTTTTAACCCCCCCCTGCCTTTAGACCAACTTGCTCTTCCTCGGGGGTGTAGATAAGTTTTGGGGGGATTTCGAGGCGTGGAATGAGTGGAAGAACAACTACTTCTCCTTCAGCAGCTTTCCGAGCAGCGGCGTCAGCTAATTCGTTTCCCCTGATGATGGGTGACTCACCTTTCTGATGCCCTCGGCAATGTATTATGGCTACCTTAGCGGGGAGCCATATAGCTTCCAAGAGGGCCAGGATCTCTTCCTTGTTCTTAACTTCCTTCCCACCGGCAGTAAGGAGGCCACGCTCTTTGTAAATGGCTCCGTGGATGTGAGCGGTGGCGAAAGCATACCTGCTGTCGGTGTAGATATTAGCGGTCTTACCTTCTGCTAGACGCAGAGCCTGGATTAGGCCAATCAGTTCAGCTCGCTGGGCTGAAGTTCCAGCTGGCAACGCCTTCTGCCAGATCACCTTCGTCTCAGTGGTGACTGCCGCCCCTGCTAGTCGCCGCCCTTCCCGCATGAAGCTGCTTCCATCAGTAAAAAGAACTAAATCAGGCTTGTCATAGGCCTGGTCCCGTAAATCGGGTCGGGAACCAGTGATAGAGTCTAATACCCATGTACAGTTATGGGTTATAGCTGCGTCTGGTAAGGGCAACAAGGTCGCAGGGTTCAGGGTGGTTGTTTTGACGAACTGCACAGCTGGAGGATTTAGGAGCTGAGCTTGATACTGAGTCAGTCGGGCATTCGAAAGCCATCTGTCTGGGGGTGCCCGTAAGACCTGCTCTAGATAGTGCTCTCCGATTACCTGAATGTCTTGGCCTAAGGTGAGCTTGCTTGCTTCTTTGACTAACACAGAGGTGGCCGCTAAGGCCCTCAGACATGCTGGCCAGCCAGAAGCTACAGGGTCAAGTCTCCTTGATAGGTAGGCTACAGGTCTTCTCCATGGACCGAGCTCTTGGCACAGCACCCCTAATGCAGTTCCTTCTTTCTCGGCTATGAATAGTTGAAATGGCTTAGATAGGTCCGGCAGCGCTAATGCCGGGACCACAACGAGGGCCTCCTTCAGGGCCTGGAAGGCCCTTCTTGCCTCGCTAGTCCGTTCAAACTTTTCTTCCTTTCCCCAAGTTAGCTGGTGCAGTGGTTGGGCCAACTCTGCAAAACCTAGGATCCAAAGCCGACAGTATCCTACTGCTCCGAGAAACTCCCGTACCTGTCTCTTGCTGGTAGGTTCTGGGATTTGTAGGACTGTTTGAATCCTCTGATTGGATAAGGTTCTTTGCCCATTCTGCAGGTTATACCCCAGGTAACTTACGGTTTGAGTCACAATCTGGGCTTTCTTGGCTGACACACGGTATCCCATCTTTTCTAGGTCTCGGAGTAGGTCCTTAGTAGCAGCCTCGCACTTCTCCGCACTCCTCTCCGCAATGAGGATGTCATCCACATACTGCAGGAGTACTGTCGTGGGGTGGGAGATGTGGAAAGCCTGCAAGTCCTTACCTAGGGCCTCACTGAAAATGGTAGGTGAGTTCTTAAACCCTTGTGGTAGGCGCGTCCAGGTATACTGGCCTACTAATCCATTTTCAGGATCATTCCACTCAAAGGCAAAGATCTCTTGGCTTTGACGGGCTAGCGGTATGCAAAAGAAGGCGTCCTTTAAATCTAGTACCGAGTAATGAGTATGAGTCGGGGGCAAAGAACTTAGCAGGGTATATGGGTTGGGCACCGTGGGATGTATAGTCTCTACCCGCATATTTACTTCCCTCAGATCTTGAACTGGCCGGTAATCCGCCGTCCCAGGCTTTTGTACTGGTAACAAGGGAGTATTCCAGGCTGACTGACACTCCCGTAGAATACCTGCTTTTAGAAGTCGCTTAAGGTGTTGGGCGATCCCCTGCCGTGCTCGGCTGGGTACTGGGTACTGTCTCACCCGAATAGGGCTGGCAGTGCTTTTTAGCTGGACTAGCACTGGAGGTTGGTGGAGTGCTAGGCCTGGTGGATTAGTCTCTGCCCAGACTCTGGGAATCTCAGAGAGGAGGGTTTCTGGTACTCCTTTCTCCTCCTTACCTTCCTGGAGGGTTGCCAGCAGGTATTCTTCTGAGAGTGGCACAGTTACCTCTACCCGGGCAGGTCCTGGAGTATTGGTCCCTGGCACCTCAGTCTGTTTGAAAGTGATGGTGGCCTGAAGTTTCTGCAATAAATCTCTCCCGAGCAGTGGGTAGGGACAATCCGGAACCACTAGGAATGAATGGGTTATGGTGCCCAGCCCCAAGTCTGTGACCCTTGCAGTAGTCCATGGGTAAGATTCCTCTCTGCCAGTAGCCCCTATGATCTTGGTAGTTGTCTTTTGTGCCTTTCCTTGTGGTTGCTTTAAGACTGAAAAAGTGGCCCCCGTGTCTACTAGGAAATTTATTGGCTTCCCTTCGACGTTCAGAGTGACCATGGGCTCCTGGGGGCCAACTGGTATAGAGCCCCGGCCCCGTCAGTCTAGAGTCTGAAGCAGGACGGGGGTCCTTTCCTCTAACACGGGTGGCCTGGCTCTGCGTTTAGGGCAATCTCGTTTCCAATGTCCTATTTCCTTGCAGTAGGCACATTGATCTTTGTTTAAGGGAGCCTGCCGTTGCTGGGCTCCATCCCTACCTTTCTCCCTCCGGCCAGGTTTCTGAGCTGCTATGAGGATCTTGGCTACTTCCTTTGCTCTACCTATCTCGGGGTCATCTCTGTTTACATAAACTTTCTGAGCAATTTCTAACAGCTTGCTTAGGTTTTCTTCTTAAAAAAACCACGCCCGCCCCAAAACCTTCAATCTTCTGTAGTTTCTTCCTAATATCTGACATCGCCTGTGTGACAAAGGCAATATTGACAAGCCTGCGATTTTCTGGCGCTTGGGGGTCTAGGGGGTATACACCCGGTAAGCCTCTAGAAGCCTCTCTAAATATGCTGCTGGGGATTCCTCTCTCCCTTGGGTGACCTCACTTACCTTACTGAAATTGGTTGGCTTTCTGGCTGCTGCTCGTACCCCCCTCAGGAGAGCTCGGCGATACTGGAATAGAGCTTCCCTCCCCGCACTTGAATTTGGGTCCCAGTCCGGAGGCGGGTTGGGGAGTATATCCCCAACCCCCCTCCGGTTTCCTCCCAGCCCTCCTTCTTCTTCCCTTACGGCCTTTTCGGCCTCTCGAAGGATTCTCTCTCTCTCTTCAGAGGTGAAGAGAGTTTGGAGTATCTGTTGGCAGTCATCCCACGTAGGCTGGTGGGTCCTAAAAACGGTCTCTAGAAGGGAGATTAAGCCCTGGGGCTTTTCAGAGAACGGGGGATTCTGAAGTTTCCAATTATATAAATCACTGGTAGAAAAAGGGACATAAACTAGACGAGGGGGATTAAAGGCCGGGGCATCAGGGCCCGGCGGCACCTCCCGGAGGGGCAAGATGTTGGCCCCTCCCTCTGAGGGGTGGGGCGCCCCTGGCCCGGGAAGCGGGACGCCAGCCCCTCCCACCTGGGGGTGGGGCGCCCCGGGCCCGGGAAGCGGGACGCCAGCCCCTCCCACCTGGGGGTGGGGCGCCCCGTATAGGGTTCCCCTCCTTGTGTGAGGGGGACTCATCAACTCCTCCCCCGTGGTGGAGTCGGGTTGCGGGGTAGGATTGTATGGCGGCGGGGCAGTTGGGGCTAGTAGAGAATCCTCTGGCTGCTCTGGCAGTACCGGATATAGACGGGGCTTCCTTTGTTCCTGCCCCTGGGGAGGAGTTTTCTCTCCGGGATTTACATGGGGCTTCCTTTGTTCCTGCCCCTGGGGAGGAGTTTTCTCTCCGGGATTTACTTGGGGCTTCCTTTGTTCCTGCTCCTGGGGAGGAGTTTTCTCTCCAGGATTTACTCGGGGGTGCCTTTGTTCCTGCTCCTGGAGAGGAGTTTTTCTCCCCCCTCCTGGCCTTTGTCTAGCAGCTACACAGACGCTCTGCCGCATCCTATTTCTGCCTGACTGACAACAGCGTATGTACTTCGGTCGTTCGGTAGCTATATCTACCCAAACATCTATATAAATCATCTGATCTGGATGGGGCACTCTGTAAACCACCCCTTGAATGGCATAGAGAAGGGGGAGGTTAAAAGTCCCTTCAGAGGGCCATCCTACGTCAAAGGCTGGCCATTCTAACTCACTGAAGGTCCGGAGAGTCTCAGGATCTGGAGGTGGCCCGCCGTACCCTCGGGCCCGCTTCTGAAAATCAGAAAAATTATTCAGAAGGCATTCTAATGCATTACTCGGTGCTGAGCCTCCTTGTCCCATCTTTGATTTCCGACGCGAGACGTTAACAGTCTCGAGACCTAGTAGGACTAAGGCAATTAAGAGTTCACACACGAACACACAACGGGCTTCCCCTCCTCCACTCACGCATAAACAAGCCGTGACACACAACTTCAGCTCTCTCACTCGTTCAGGGGCGCGGGCGCTTCGCAAGCGCTTTTGGTTAGAGCACGGAAATCGTAAGTGATCTCCTGCCGTAACCTAAACAGACGGGGGGGGGGGGGGGGGCACTCCAGTTCTTCCCCTCCCCCTATTACCAGAATAGAGCACAAAAAACTCTACCAGACGGGGACTGCAGTTCCCCTACCAGACGGGAGCGTAAAGCCCCGACCCCTGAGAGCGTCCTCCCAGTTTTTGGGGTCCCCTGGGCGGAATTCCGGCGGCGTCCCACCTTCAGCTTCAGGGCTCCGATGGCCGCGACCTTCCCAGATAGAGATCTCTCACAGATACCAGATACTTACCGGGCCGGCATACAGATGGGTTCTCCGAGGGCACGTGCGAATCTCGGTGGAACCTCCAAATGTTGTAGGCAACAGATGAGTCAATGCACGCTCTCGGAGACGAAAATAGGTTTCAAAGATTTCTAGTTTTATTGATTACAAAATAATAGTCCAATTATAAATTTGGTGGCCAAGCTTTACCTGCGCAGGGGCGAGCTTCCCAGATGTGAACGGAGTCATATTAGCTTTTAAAGCTACAGATGGAAGTCGCACGTGGCTCACAGACTACGGGGTTTTTATAGGGCAGAGCAAGCGAATGCGGGGTTACAGAAGCAGATGTGGCAGTTAGCTATTAGCCAGGTTGCTAAGTTTAAAAAACGGCGAAAGTCTCTAATTGGTGGGTGGGAGCTGGGGGGTCTCTTCTGGAGGGCCTTGGTCAGTTACCTTATTTGGCTAGGAATTTTTACCCCAGCCGTTCCCTGACATTTATTTATTACCTAGTCTCAGGAACTGCAGATGCCTAACGGCTGTTTGTATGTTTCTACTACTAATGGCTATTACACCAGCAGCCAGCACCCAGAAAGTTCTGCTCCCAGCAGGCTGATCAGAAGATGGAGGACCTCTGGGGACAAGCAGCTTGTGCTGCTGTATCTGTGGGTCAAGGCACAGCTTGAGGAGCCAAGGTTTCCACGAATGTTCCATGAGGCCACAGGAGATGTTACAGCTGGCAGTGTGACGAGGGAGACCAGGAGAATGCAGGCTGGGCCTGACACTGGGAAAACCACTGAAAAGGAGGGCACCAGAGAGCCATGGTGGTGGCAGCTGCAGGCGAGAGTAGTGCCTGTCAGAGAGGCCCCTGAAGATGACAGTGGCACCTATAGTCCCTGAAACAGAGGCTAGGTGACTCTAAGGGATGCAGTAGAGGCACCAAACACCAAGCCCACTTGATTGGTGTGCACAGGTGCTAGGAAATTGCAGGTCCTGGTGCCCACACACCAGCGTCCTGTTCAGGCCTAAATGGTCTGTCCACACTCCAGGGGTGTTTCCAAAAAAGGCTCCTTCTGGGCTCCAAAAAGACCATTTGGCTGTGCCAACCCCCCAACAACAGGAAGGAAATATCCTGCCAGACGCTGTGAGCTACATGTGCAAGTAGCCCGGGAATGATTTGGGTGGGGTCTGTGACAGAGATCAGAATGGCTATGTCAACACTTGGGGTTCTGATCCCAACTAGGGAAGGAGCAGAGGAACTTTACTCCTTGTTTCAAATGCAGTTGGTTGCAGTATATGCTGCCCTGTTGGCCACAGGGGCTATACCAGGAACTGCCCCCATGACAGTTAGGACCAGGTGTCCCATTGCCGGGTGGGTCAGGGACTGGCTGTCCAAGCTTGGAAGTGGGATGGCTCAGAGGCCCACATTAGCTGAGTGGGGGCTTCTCTGCAACAAAGCACTATTCTGTCCACTAGTCCTTTATGGGTTGTGTTACAGGAAATATTAAGTCCAGTTGTTTATGCAGATATGAAATCTACTATTCCCATTCATATAGAAGATAGGGATGCTGGCCCCTGCCAGGAAAGGCAGGCACCTATTCCCTCAGATGCATGGTACTCTGATGGGTCCAGCAGGGTCCATCCTACTGTGTGGACCACGTAGCAATTCCCCCCAAGACAGACACAATCTGGATTCATGCTGGTTGTAACACAGCAGCCAGTGGACAGAACTTCAAGCAGCATGGCTCCTGGCAGTCAGTGAAGACTTGCCCCTGAGTATTTGCACAGATAGCTGGGTGGAGTTCCAGCAGCTAGCATTATGGATCTCTACAAATAAATAGATGGTCATGCAGAGACCATTGTGGGGATAAGCTGTGTGGCAAGACTTATAGCATTTAGGCCACCAAGAATAAATCACTGTATATCATGTCAAAGGACATGCACCTCTTCCTTCCCCTGGGAATGATGAGGCTGATAATCTAATCAAGGTACCGTGACTAGAAATGGCAACTGCCAGTCCCTCAAGAAGGGAAGTAGCCAAGTGGCTACACCATCACCTCTTATATCCTGGGCAAAAGACCATTTGGTCTACCATCAAAATTTGGGGGTCACTGTTACACTGGCGGAAGTACAAGAAGCTTGAGAGACTTGTGTTACCTCCTAGAGAGAGCATAATGGAAGGCCTGTTGGAACTTGTGGACAGGTAGTGTGGGACAGGTATGGCTGACTTGATGGCAGGTGGAGGGAATTGGTCCCCTACCTAGTTGAGAGAGAGAGAGAAGTATCTTAAAACAGGTGTGGACATGACCACAGTACTTCTAGGTGCTTATCCCACAGTGAACCCAGATTAGGAAGCAGTGATTGCTGGGTGGGAACAGTTAGGTGCTGCTTGTGGGCAACCCTTAATATTTGCAAGTGATCAGGGGACATGTGTTACTCGGGCCTCAGTACAATAATGAGCTCAGGATTTGCTGACTGACTGCAATTTTTTTAATTTTATTTTTTATTGATTATGCCATTACAGTTGTTCTATTCCCCCCTTCATTCTCCTCCACCCTCCCTCCTGTCCCCACCATTACCCCCCCTTTAGTTTATGAACATGTGTCTCAAGTTCTCTAGATTCTATATTTCCCATACTATTCTTGCCCCCCATCTATTTCTATCTACCATCTATGCTACTTATTTTCTGTGCCTTCTCCCCCCTTCTCCTCCTCCCACTCCCCTGTTGCTAACCCTCCTTGATATCTTCATTTCTATGTTTCCACTCCTGATCTAGCTGTCCTTTTAGTTTGCTTTTGTTTTAAGTGTGATTGTTAATAACTGTGAGTTGGCTGTCCTTTCACTGTTCATGTTTTTTTAACTTCTTTTTCTTAGGTAAGTCCCTTTAACATTTCATATAATAAGGGCTTGCTGATGATGAACTCCTTGAATTTGATCTTATCTGAGAAGCACTTTATCTGTCCTTCCATTCTAAATGAAAGTTTTGCTGGATAGAGCAATCTTAGTTGTAGGTCTTTGGATTTCATGACTTGGAATACCTCTTTCCAGCCCCTTCTTGCCTGTAAGGTCTCTTTTGAGAAATCCACTGACAGTCTGATGGGAACTCCTTTGTAGGTGACTGTCCCCTTAGCCCTTGCTGCTTCTAGGATCCTCTCCTTCATTTTAATCTGGCTAATATAATGATGATGTGCCTTGGTGTGTTTCTTCTTGGGTCCAACTTCTTTTGGACTCGTCGAGCTTCCTGGATTTCCTGGAAGTCTATTTCCTTTGCCAGATTGGGGAAATTCTCCTTTATTATTTGTTCAAATAAGTTTTCCACTCGTGGCTGTTCCTTTCCCCCTTCTGGCACCCCTATAATTTGGATGTTGGAGTGTTTAAAGATGTCCTGAAGGTTCCTAAGACTCTCCTCATTTTTTTAAATTCTTGCTTCTTGACTCTTTTCTGTTTGGCCATTATTTGCTTTCTTCTGGTCCACTCCATTGATTTGAGTCCCAGTTTCCTTTTCATCGCTATTGGTTTCCTGTGCAATTCCCTTCATTTCAATTAGTTTCGCCTTCATATGTTTCTCTAATTTGTGGCTATAATCAACTGGATCTGTGAGCATCCTGATCACCAGTGTTTTAAACTGTGCGTCTGAGAGTTTTGCTATTACTTCATCACTTAGATTTATAGGCTCTGGGGCTTTGAGTTCTTCTTGAGCCATTTTTGCCTGTTCGCGCCCCTTAAGTGTGAGGAGTGGAGCCTTGGACTCGCAGGTCGCTGGGTTGTGACTCTGTATGTGGGGGCATGGTCATAAGTTTGTGATATATGGCCTTTATTATGTTTATGATTGTTCCCTCTATTCCTACTTTCTTAAGAGTTCTTACGTAAATCTTGCTTGATTTTATCAAATGCTTTTTCTGTATCTATGGAGATGATCATGTGGTTTTTCTTCTTTATTTTTATACATGGTGTATCACATTATTGTTTTGTGAGTGTTGTACCAACCTTGCATTCCTGAAATAAATCCCATTTGATCATTGTTTTGATGTATTGCTGTATTCAGTTTGCTAATACTGTGTTGAGGATTTTAGCATCTAAGCACATGAGGTATACTGGCCAGTAGATTTTATTGTAGTGTCTGTATCTGGTGTTGGAATTTGGATAATGCTGGTCTTGTAAAATGAGTTTGAGAGCTTTCCCTGCTCTTGAATTTTTTGGAATAGTTTCAGAAGAAGATGTGTTAGGTCTTCTTGGAATGTTCGTAAAATTCACCTGTGAGGCCACATATGGAAGGCAACCAATCAATGTTTCCCTGTCATATGAATGTTTCTCCTTCTATTTCTCCCAATTCCTCTCTTTCTAAAAGTAATGAAAAAAAGTCCTCAGATGAAGATAAAAACAAACAAACAAACAAATTAAACAAATAAATAAAAAGTCCTGTGTAGTTATACCATGAAGGGCTTCTGGGGGATAACTTAGTTCAGATTTGAAAAACAGAGCCTAGCAACCATTTCTGCACAGAGACCTTCCATACAAACCCCACTTCTGGGGGAAACTGCACTAAGATGCCTGCTTCCCACAATGAACTGCCTGCCTGGACTATATTCCTGCCATTTGAGTCAGTACGTACACAGGAGTTCCAGGAATTGTAGTTCAACCAATGGGAACAAGGCTTTCCCTGTCTTACTGGAGCTCTACAGCTCTATCCTCCAGTATCTTCATCAAATAACCAGAGAGGCTCCATTCTGACTGATCAGGACAGTGATACATATATATATATATATATATATATATATATATATATATATATATATATATATATAATACATGCACTAGCAATTGTTAACAGGTAAAAAAGTAACAGAATTAAAATTAGCCTGTGACTCCATTAGAAGCAGAACTAGAAGTCAAAATAGATCATAATAACAACATAAAATTATATTGATGGATAGATCCTTCATCAAGGTTTGTTAACTAAGCCCCAAAACAGAAGAAAGACCACTGAACTTGGTCCAGAAGCCCTTGGTTGGGTCTGCACTGTGGACTTCAGAATAGTGAGACCAAGAGCCACACCATAGCCGAGATGCTGGCCCCCATGAAGGCCTGTCCTGGGCTGCTTCTTCCCTCATCCTTAACTGTCTTCTTGAAAGACACTCATCAGTTTCCATGACTTTGATCACCATCTGTGTAATCACTCACAGACCTCTGGGCCAAACTGTCTCCTGTAGACATAAAACCTTACATGCTCCATAAATTCAGTTGTTCATAAA